GGTGGGGGTATTTGGGCGGAGGAAGAAAATAGAAACAGATTGAAGTGGTTCGTCATTGTGAGGACATACCTAAAGTGATCGATGAGTAAAGATGAATGTGCTTGTGATATGTTTTTTTTAGGAAGTCCTTGATCATCTGAGAATTTTCATTTGTATGATATGACGCTTCAAGGATCTATTTAGGAATATTTAGTACCAGCCGAGGCTTTGTGTTGAACAATTCCTAGTTTGCTATTATTATTATTTTCTTAGGATTTGCTAAATTCAGTTGGAAAATTTAGTAACGGAAGTTGGAACTCTTATTCCTATATACATAAACTGTACCAATGGCATATTCTGTTATATCATAGATAGATTATGTCTTGAAGTAAGGAGGATATCATAAAGATATTACAAAGAAGAAACGCCCATAAGTGTTGTCAGGAGCGTGAGGCCTTTTTTGTTTTTGTACTGAACTTGGGGTGCAAGCAATCCAGATACTATAGCCTGTATTTGGATCAACTCCCATCCTGTGTAATTATTTCTAGGACTTTGAGGAAGTAAGTCTAGAGTTTGAGCTGTACTACACTAAGGCCAGGTTACTTCATTTTGTCAGGAATCTGGTGCCTTTGTTTCTGAATCAAAGCAAACTGACCATCTGACTATAGCCAATTTTCACATCACCTCCTCTCATCCTCTATAATTTCTTTCAAGATTTTGAAATTAAGTATTGCAGTTTGGGCTGAACAAAAAGTAAGATTGGCTTAGTCCAATTGTCATTGACATGCATTTCTTTTTTTCATCTGACCTTGGGGGTGGGGTGTAAGCCATCTATACTCAGCTCATTTTTTATCAACTTTTATAACACTACAAATGTTTTATCTCAAGGGATTAAAACAGTTATTTTCAAATTTGGGACAATCAAACTATGATCAACCCGATCCCATTGTAATGGATGATGCCTGTTTTTGTTCCTCAAATCAAACAAACTTTGGGGTGATTGCTTTAGATATTTCCCAGTTTTGGATCAACTCTCATCTGTGTATGCTCTTTATCCCTTTCAAGATCTTGAGACAGGTTTCAATGCTTAGGGCTGTACTGAAACTAAAATCAACTCAGTTATCAGGAGTGTAATGTGTATTTCTGAATCCCGTGACAGTTATAGGCTTTTTTTTTGGATCTAGCCATCCTGTATAGATCTGTTTAAAGACTATGAACCTAGTTACGAAGTCTGAACTCTGGGCTGTACCAACCTATACGATGAACTTAGTTCAACTAAAATCTAGATTAAAAAGGTACCTTATTCTTCCATCTCAAAGAAAGAAATTTCCATTACTCGGGTTTTGCAGCTCTTGCAAGATCAATTAATTTTTAGTTGAGCCTAAAATTTGTTCAACCTATCACACAAATTCAACTTTGTCAAAATTCGTTCTTAGGTCAATTGCACTCAACAAGGACCCAGGATCAAATTATAGTAGAAATATAGCCAAAAGTATCTGAATGAACTGAATGGATACATAGGATTTATAGTTTTTATGATCAAGTGATGGTTGCCTAGGATGTATCCTCTCTTTCAAGTAGAAAGTCATACTACAAGTCAAACTTCCAACCAAAGAATCTTTTCATTTTTTGGCAAGTATTGAGGATCTTATTGATGATAACCTGCAAAAAGAGAATGGTGCTTGGGTAACAAAAGAATCTCCTTTTTGGGGTGTCTTCTTGAGTTTGAAACTTCTAAAAATTCCTCCTTTGCTTTGCCGAGCTAGACCTGATTTGAATGTCGCTCTTATGGTGTTTTCTCGTGGGGTTGTTTGCTCCATCAAATTCTGCTTCCCTCCTTCACATCAAGTAGCTTTTGATGTGCCAGTTAGGTTACTCTAATATGTCTCTTCCAACTTAAGAAAAAGAATACTTACCCAAATTTGTTTTTGAGAAGCCAGCCTCAAAGATGATTCAACCTACATTTTTATCAATTAATTATAATTACTTTTAACCTTGTGAAACATTCTTGAACCTCTCGTTACATTTGTGCTTTACTAGATGCCCTCAGTTGTTTTCTTTCTTTTGCATGCAAGACTCACTTTTTCTCTTGAGTACGAATGCTTTTATTTCATGGTATCATAGCATGACATACCTATTATTATGTTGTTCATGCTCTAGTCGGCACACCTGAACAGAGTGAAGGGGGTTAAGTGGACCTACATTGCTTGTAGGACATGCGATCGATCTCCTTGTATGGTCATGGGTATTCCTCACCTCATGAGCTAGCTTTTGAGGTTGAGTTGGGCTATGGTTCATTTATTATGAGATGCTTTATTGCATTTAAACCAATAAAGGTAGGCATAGGACAACTGTTATCATATTTATTATGGAAATATATCAAGTTTGTTCTGAGTTGAGTTGTTGCTAGCACTGTAGGTTACAAATATTAGACCCTATGAAAGAACATAAAATTGGAGGACATGGCATCCTGCATCTAAGGATTGAACTGGTGGCCAATGGGGTAGGAGGAGAATCATGAGGTGTTAGGTTCAAATAGGCAAAAACAAAAGGTGTTTTCTTACCATCCCCACCTTTGTGGAGAGTTATCTATACATGTAGTGGTCGGAGTTGGCAGGTACCCGTTTGAATAGTTGAGGTGCATATACGTTGGTCCGGAGACAAATGATTTAAAAAAAGGCATCCTATCACTTTTACCTCAGGTTAAGTCTTCCTTAGTTTGAATGGTAAAAGCAAAAACTCACCAAAATCATTGAAATACTAAAGCAAATATCATTCCACAATTGGGTTTAAATTCCTTGAGCTACTTTTTTTTTTAAGGCATGTAATATGGTTAAAGATTGTGCTTTAGTATTTTAAATTATTAAGGATCCGTTTATGCATGAATATACTTTGATATTGCAAATTCTGGACTTCCGTATTTACAAATACTAATTTGGGCATGAGTATTTGCAAATACACAACCTTTCGAGTGAATTATCGGTGTCCATTTACAGTTTTTTTGAACTTTGTGAAACTCTTTTTACCAATGAAGTTTATGGCGGATTTTTTTTACCAATGAAGTTTATGGCGGGACATGTTTCTACTTCCACAAATTTTTCTCTACTCTGATTGAATTGCTCTACTTTTCAACTTTTACTCGAATATTGTACAATGCCTAATGAAAGAGTTGGGTTGTTGGGTCTTGGTATGTTTCCTGCTGATAGCTTGCTGGCTTTGAAGAGTATTGTCATCGTTGTATCGATATGTTCTTCCGTAAATACTTTTAGTTTCTCTCTCTGAATTATAATCTAGAATTTTCCCTGTGCATTTAGTTGTGTGATCTCCATTTAATTGGTCTAAAATGATGTAAAAGCATGGAGGGCTACATAACTTTTAAAGAATGGAAATACCACGAGCACGAGGTTACTTTTCCCAATATGAGGGAGTATTTTGTGCACATTAGCGTTGGGATTATGTTATTACTAGAATAAGTTTAAAATGCCATGCATCTTTGTTTAGTCCAGTTTTGTCACAATTCTGAAATTCACATTCATGCGTCGATGTATGATGCTTCTCTATTCAGAGGTTTAACTTTACCTAGCATGTTAGTCTATGATATTGTCATTCTGCGCTTGCTGCTGTATTTTAATCAATCTGTCTATGATTCCTCAGCTGAAACTTGTTGGAGGTCAGCTATATGAAAATCCCTGTACCAAACTAGAATTGTACTTGTGTTTTTCACTTGGCAAATAAATTACGTGGATGTGGATTGCAGGTCAGATGTTAGAAGTAGTTCTTGCAAAGCCTCAGACTGAAAAGAAGTTTGATGCAGCTAGTCCTCACAATGCGATGCCACATCATAATTATATTCCCCATCCAGGCTATGGTGCATTTCCGATGAACCCGTATGCACCTCTAACTGCTGGTTATGGTGCTGCTGCTGCTGCTGCTGCCGCTGCGTTCCAACAAGTATTTTCTTTGTACTTCATGTCTTCATCATCGATTCTTCACTTTGTAATTGATCGTATTCATCTCATAGATTACTATTCTTCTGCAGCCTATGATATATGGTAGAGGACCGATGCCAACAGGTATGCAGATGGTGCCAATGGTTTTACCAGATGGTCAGATCGGCTATGTCCTGTAAGTTCCTATGAATATTAACATCTCGTAATTCTGAAATATCAGTTTAAAGTTCCTTTCATCACTACTGTAATTTTCAGTTTTTTGTTTAACTGGAGACTGGATGACCACATTATATAACTAGATGTTCATATAAATGTCAAAATATTGTAGTTTTGATAATGCAATGTCTTAGCAACACCGATAAAGCAAAACCTTTTAATGTTGGATATTTCCCATACAGCCAGCAGCCAGGAGTTCAGGCACCACCTGTTCGGCCTCGTAGGAATGACAGGAACAATGGTGCCGGTGGACCACAAGGACGAGGAGGAGGATCCAGTGGTGGCAGTGATGATTCCAACCGTGGTAGACGTTATCGACCATATTAGAGTCGGTGTAATGTTGTACTTGCTACTTACATTGAACACCAGACGAGTAATCCAGGACACAACTATTTCCTGTTTCCTCTTTATTTATAAAAAGGAAACTTAGTTAAAGTAAAAACTTAGACCAATCTCAGCAACTTAATGCGCACTGTAACTAAACAAAACATAGATGTTGCCTGCTTGACTAGTTCATAAATTGCTTTATCAATTGTTGAGATGAACTGCTTAGAGTCACTTGTAGCTTCACCGCTCGTCGTAATTGTTCCAAACGCCCCGTAACTGCAATGACATGACGTTTGTGTTTGCTTGTTCAAATTTTGGATAGTTTAAGCGTTTACTTGCACGCATTCCAAGAAAAATAAAATTACACGAATATCACATTGTTGAAATTTTGAGTAGTTCAAGTTTTTTACACACTATAGTATTGATGATCCCAAAAGATCAAACTTGAAAGTATAATTTATCACTAATAAGTATAAAATTAGAGGGTGTACTACGCTAAAAACACAATAAAATTGTTTTTTTTCGTGTGTGTATGTTTAGTATTAGCAATTGTGCATCTTGAAGCTATTAAGTCTTTTTTCCAGTTCATCCAAACGAGTTCCCCAATCTTCTCTTATGCTCAATGGTCGAACAATTTTGCTACCGTAATCCGCCATAGCTTCATCCTCTGCTGCTTGTTCACTCACTTTTCTACTACTACTTAACGATGAACTATCTCTTCCATGTCTCTTCTTCTTCATTTTCCGTGCCGTTGCTTTTTCCAGTGCCTGCAATACGTCAAATCCAGTAAGTTTCTTCTCTTCATCCTTTAAATCTACTTGTACTCGTTCTTCTTCTGCTTGTTGTATGTTCGTTGTTTGTGATTTCTTCCAAAATCTCTGCTTCTGCTCTGCCGTATAACCTAAATGATTTGTTTGCGATTTCTTCTGAATTTTCTGCTTTTGCTCCGCCGTATATGCTAAATCGAGGTTTCTAAGCTGCGAGTAGAGCTGAAACTTCCTCGGAGCTCCGGGCGTAAGACAATTCGCCGCCGGTTTAGTGGTGGCGAATGGTGCCGGAGCGGCAAGTGAAAGGCTCATCGAGGCCCACATGATTTTTCTGGTTACAGTTTAGAGAGGGAGATTGGAGTAATACAAATACAAATACAAATGGTGTGTGGACCAGAATTATTTGGGCCTCAACCTTGTAAAAATGGTGTGGGCTAACCTTTTCACGGGCATGTCAATGCAATATTCAATCGCTTCAATAACTCTAATTCATACGTCCGGATACATAGGTTAGCGATGTATTCGAAATATATCAAAGAGGAGATAAAATATCCAATTACATAGCTGAGGAAAGTATCAAAGAGGGGAATGATGTATTTTTAGGAGATAGGGATGTATTAACGAGAGAGAGAATTGTTGAATATATTTTTAAAATGGTAGAAATTTTTAAAGATTATAAAATAATAAGACGTGTATTTAGGTGATTTTTCCATTATTAATTAGAATGAAACTTTACAAATCACTAATTGAATAGATTGCAACTTGATAGACTTGAAACAACTCAAAACTTCAAATCTTTCAAACTTTAATGGAGTCCGGAGCCTAAGGTATAAAATATTAACAAAAAATTTAAAACGGTATATAAAATTTTATATTAATCAAAACGGCAAAATTGCTGCTACAACAGCAATTTACTCCAGCGGAAAAAGCAAAATCGCTACTACTGCAGCGATTTTGCAAAATGTGATTTTTTTTTTGAAATATAAAAAAAAAAATTAAATCGTTGCCTAGGCAGCGATTTTAAAAAAATGGAAATTGCTGTCTAGGCAGCGATTTTCAAAAAAAAAAACAAAAAAATTGAAAATCGCTGCCTAGGTAGGGATTTGAATTTTTTTTAAAAAAAAAGAATCACATTTTGCAAACTCGTTGCAGTGGCAGCAATTTTGCTTTTTCCGGTTGAGTAAATCGTTGTTGTTCCAGCGATTTTACCATTTTGGTTAATATAAAATTTTATATACCGTTTTAGAATTTTTGTTAATATTTTATACCCTTTAGGCTCCGGACTCTACTTTAATGCTCGTGATTTCTCTCTATTGCTTTAAAAATTTAAATGTTGGTAATCTTAAAGGAATACAAGACTTTCCTAAACTAATTTATATAATCCTAATATAACTATAATTTCTTTTCCAACAAGAGAATTGTAATCAATTCTACACAGAATAATAATTCAAGAAAATTAGAGTTAGTTTCTTACAAGACAAATATTCCGCCAGTTTCATATTACTTGACTCATATTGACCTGATACACCTTTTAAGAAACTTTCATTAAGAAATGCATTTTACTAAACTAATCTGAGGTTCTGGATCTCTAAATTTGTCTACTATTATGTTAAACATTCTTGTGTGTTCAACAATTCAAAGTCTACAATTGATGAAATGTGATCCATGGTCAAATTAAAACTATTTTAATTTCAAGTCTTCGGATTATTCGCTTTTCAATTTTCAAAGTAAGTATATAGGTCATGACATACATAACTAAATAATTAATCATATTTGTCATTCGTGGATATATATATAATCTTTAATATTACATCGATTTGATAACTGAATATTTTTTTATTCAATATTTTGTATCGATTTTTTGTTTTTTATCTATCATATGCATCATTTTCTTTTTCCTCGATCTGCCTCTATCATATAGTAGGATTTCATTTATTCAAGAAGTAAATGAATATGTGATTGTTATGTAAATGTGTGCATGTCCATAATCTTTAATACTACATTGATTTGATAATTGGTTTATTTTCATTCGATGTTTTATATCGATTTTTTGCTTTTTATCTATCATATTTATCTTTTTTATTTCCTCTGCCTCTATCGCGTTGTAGAATTTCATTTATTTAAGAAATAAATGAATATGTAGTTGTCCTATATATAAATGTGTATGTGCCCATAATCTTTATTACTACATTAACTTGATGATTAAAATTCTTTATTTTTTTTCATGTTCTGAATATTTGATTAATTCCAGAAAACTAAATATTTGATTTCTTGCTTTCGATTTTCACTATGTCTCATTTTCTTTTTGTCCCACCTCTATCAACTTGTAAAGTTTCATTTATTTAAGAATTAAATGCATAGCTATTTGTCTTAATATAAGTGACCATATTAATCTTTAATATTGAATCCATTTGATAATTTGTTTTTTATTCTATATTTGTACTGGTTAAATTTGGGATTTTTTGTTTACTTTGAATTAATATTTATAAAGATCTTATCTATTTTTAGAATTCAAAATTGAAACTTCTAACTAAAAGAAACCGAATCTCATAGAGTTAAATAATGTCATTCTCAAATAGCAGAAGTATCATTTTTTCAACAAATTAAAACGAGAAGATAAGCAAATGAAAAGAAAAGATGGTAAAAATGAACTCATAAATTTAATATAGTAGTAAGTATTTATTATTCTTTTTTTATTATTATTTGTCATTTTCACTTATCGAAAGTCAAATTGCATGAACTCTAATCAATAAGAAATAGATTTTCGTCAATTAATATGAGAAGGATTGCAATTCATGATATTTTTCTTATTTTTTTAACACTAAATTTAAAATATTCAATTCAATTTAACTTTTAAAAATAATTTTCCTCAAACAAAACATGACAAATAAAAATTGAAACAAGTGAACAAAATGGTTTCCTTTTTAATAACCTAAAAAAATTGAAATTAAATATTTTCCAAGTCCTACATGACGCATGGCAAAATTACTCATTTTCGTTATGAGTTACCCATAGAGTGTTCATCTGTAGAATAGAATTTGTGATAGAGATTGTAGCAATCGTGGATTGTTTTGATAGTTATTATATTTGTAAGTAAATCATGAAACCAAACCTATATATTGAGGAAAAATCAAGACAACTTTTACACTATGGTTAGATATGATAATCTTATCAAAATATTAACCATTATTTACATTTTCTTGCTATATATCTGCATCTCTCACTTTATTGTTGTCCCAAGTGCCAACTCTACAAAGAAGTAACATTTCATTTATTCTAGAAGTAAATGCATATGTAATTGTCCTGTATATACTAGTGCATGTACCCATAATATTTAATACTAAGTCCACTTGACAAATATATTTTTTTTTATTTTTTATTTTAATTTGATGATCTATTTTTATTTAATTTGGAATTTGATTAATTTCGATTTATGCACAAGGTCCATTAAAAGGAGAGCGCTTTTTATTAGAATTTTTTTCTATTCTCAAGACTTGAAATTCAAACCTTTGATTAAAAATGGAAAAATACATAATCATTATATACACTTAACCTAGCTAGCGATACTTTCAAAACATTATCTAATATAACTATCCTAAAAATTTTATAACAAATCTCTCCTCTCTCGCTCGCCACACTCATCTCTCTCTTCCCTCTGTCTCCCTCACTACTTTCATGTTCACTTCTCTCTCTTTCTATAAGTCATTGCGTGAATCTTTCTTCTTCTCCCTCTCTGTTTTTATATTAATCAATAAGGAACCCTCATTAATTTTTTTTTAAAAAAAAGGGTCCGAAAAATACTTCTAACGGTCGAAATTGTTATTACGTTATCAAACTTTATGGAGGACCTTTTAACCTCCCCCAGTATTTAATAGCGTATTTTAAAGATATATATATGCTCACGTGGACATGAATTATTTATAATTATTACTACAAAAAAATAACTTTTAGCGGCATTAAATATGACACTAATAAAGAGTGCTAAAGTCTTTACCGGCATTAGTTAAGTGTCATTAGAACCAATGTCGCTAAAGGCTTTAGGGACATATACAAAGAGTGACAATTGCCTCTAAAATTACATATTTAGCGGGCTAATAGTTATTTTTGTTGTAATGTATACAATATTTATGATGCTTACGTGAGCACATATATACTTTCAAAATACAATATTAAATCGTAAAGGTCCTTTCCAAAATTCGATATTGTTACAATAATTTCAATCAAAGTTCAGATATATTTCAGACGTTTTTCCTTTTTTTTATACTTGAATTGTTCCTATCTACACATGTGCATGATTCTTGAATTTCAATATATTCAGGATGACTGCAATTGTTGATTCAATTTTTATTGGATTAACACCGCTACATCAAAAAATTTTCATTCTAGGTTCTTGATTTGTTCTTCAATATTTGAATGTTCTCTTTCTCTTATTGGAAAAATTGATACACCTATATCAATTTTTATCTTCTTTTATTGATGATACAAAAAAACAATTGTATTTATGTATCATAAAATAACTTTATAAGTGTATCAGAAAAAATTGATATATCTTTTATTAGATTGCATGTGAAAAAAACTAATACAACTATTATCAGAAAAAAATTGCATTTTATGTATTTAATATAAGGGTGATACAATATTCAATTACTTCATCAATATGTTTTCCATTTGTGTATCACAAAAAGTTGATACAGTCTGTATTTGTATATTCATTTTTACGGAGTGATACAATATGTATTTGTGTATCTGTGTTTTAGTTTCAAAGCTAATATGTATATTTTTGTGCGAGATTAAGAGAGAGAAGGAGAAGAGAGAGGGGGGGGGGGGGAATGTGTATTGTGTATCCGTGATGTACGTATCACAATTTCAATTGAGATACATATTGTATCTGAGATACACCCTGCTCGCCTCTCTCTTTTTCCGCTCCCCTCAATCTCTCTCCTCTTTTTTCTCTAAAATTATTATTACAAATCGTAATTAAATAAACTATAAATATTTATAAAAATTCCTCAACTTAATTGAATTACATGATAATCTCGATTTTCGAATAATAGAAGTATCATTTCAATAATCAAAGCAAAAGAAGAAAAAGTCCAAAAGAACTCATAAATATCACCTACTTTAAACAATAATCAGGCAAGCTGCCCAACTAAACTTGCGTGAACAATAAGGTGAGCAGTCTACCTGAAATTTGAAACTAAAAATCATGCAATCTACTCCCATTTTTTCGATTTACATGGTATCGGTAGAATTTTGAGAGTCAGATATTTATTAATTTTACTTTAAGTATTTGGATATGGATTTTTTAAGTTTCTTGACATAAGAATTATATATTTGAAAAAAAAAATATTGTAATTCATCGTAATCAATAATTTAAAATATTTAAAAAATGTGTAAAAAAATTACGATAAAATAAATTATTTGACTATTAAAATTCAAATAATAACACACAAATTAGGACGGAAGGATTATCATCTAGACCTCTATGGCTTGGCTAGGGTAGAGTTCCAATTGCATTCTTTACTTTTATTTTCAATTGTTATCTTTTTTTATTTCTTTAAAATAAAAGAAAAGATATTTATTTTTTTATCTATAGAATAAATTTCTTCAAAAAATTATTATTATTCACGAAAAAAAAGAAAATGAGAAATATAATATTTTTAAAAAATAAAATCCCCTTTTGGATATCACTTTTCACTCGTTGATATATCTCTATCCCCTTCTCTACAATGTCTCTCCCCTCTCTGATATATCTCTCCCTTCTTGAATATATTCCTATCCCCCTCCTCTCTCTGATACATCCCTCCCTTTCGGGTATATCTCTCACCTGAGTATCCAAAGGTGTATCTGAAAGTCCGGTGATGTATCCGAATGTCCTATCCTCACTCTAATACATCCCTCCTCTCTCGCATACATCCTTCACCTATATATGCGGATGTCTACTAAAATATTCGTAAGTTCATTGATATATTTAAAATCCATAAATTTTAAGATTCTTTTATAATTAAAAAAATATATATAATTAGCTCTAATATTATAATATTTAGATAAAATTATCCTAAATTTTTTTTATTTAAGTATGTTCAAAATTGAAAGAAACTTTGTTTTTACTCTTTACTAAAATAACTTGACACCTCAAGAGTGTATCATTAATGCTAGAAAGTTATATATTCGGTTTGTTAATTTGTATCTACATCTCTCATTTTCTTGTTTTCCCAACTACCAATTTCTATCAACAAGTTTACATTTCATTTATTTGATAAAGTATAAATGCATATGTAATTGTCTTATATATAAGTGTTGTGTCCATAATCTTTAATATTTTGTCCACTTGATAAGTATAAGGTTTCTTTTTTTTGGAAAAAAGAAACAGGTAGATGTATATCCTTTATCATACTTACTAATTCAATTTATGATTTTAAATAGTACCCTATTATCTCAATATTTGTTAATTATAGATAGAAGTATTAAAAATACGTCAAGGTATGACATGAATTATTAGTTTCGTTTATTAACAGTTCTAAAAATATCTATTTATTTGACTAATTAAACTTAAATACACCTTTATTCATCACGTGACATAACAAATGGTCTCAAACTTTTGTAGAAACGTGAAATTCTCAATAAAAAATCTAAAACAATATTAAAAATATCCTTAGATTTAATAATAATTTAAAAATAAACTAATAATTCTTATCAAATTTAAAAGTGTTTTCTATACCTCTCAATTATATGCCAAATTTGGTGTCATATACATTGCATGTCCACTTAATTATCTATTTAATTTACTCCTTCACTCCAAATTAATTCACTAGACAATTCTCTCCCATATTCATCACCTAAAATACTTTCAATGATGATATCTCTTTGATCAATATATAATTTGAATTTGCAAATAATTTAGAATCCAATTAATTTGAATTCAGGTGCTAAGGTACATTACCATTTAATTTTTTATATCTTAGAATTTTAAGTAAATCTCTAATTAAACCATTTTATCACAACAGCTAATGGTAATTGTATAAGAGAAAATTATCTAAAATTGATAAAGCCTACCATTAAATCCTCAACTAAAGCAACAATATACGAATTTCACTATTTTATTCAATTAATTCGATCAACATCTTTTATATTAACATTTAATTTATCTATCATTGTTTATCCAAAAAATGGGTATAATTGAATTTATCATTAGGTCAAATCAACTCATTAATAAAGTTGTATCGAGCTGCCCACACAAAGTTGAAACTTGATTTACGTGAACAAGAATAATTCTCTTTAAATTTACTACGTATATAAAAAATGAAACCAAAAACTTGCAATTTAATTAAATATTGATCATTGTTGATGTGTGACCATCTTATCTCTGTTTGTTCTAATATCACGTTAAAGTGTGAGATCATATGTTAGAAAGAACAAACTTTAGTTAATTGTATTCTGAACAACGATATTATGTTACTTCCTCTTTCTCAACTTATATATAGTATTGTTGTTTGGATCTCGAGAGTCAAATATTATTTACTTTGACTATGGATTATGATTTGCGGAATCTTAAATTATTATTTTTTTCAAAAAAATAAAATTTACATATATTTGGAAACAATGTAAAAAGTATAATAATTCAAAATAATTGACAAGTTAACATATTAGAAATCCACATGAAAAAGTAATTTAAATCTCGTAATTCAAACAGTATTACATAAATTGAGACGGAGTATCGTCTAGGCCACTATTGCTTTGCAAGGGCAACTTTCACAGGGTAACGTTGGATGCAATCAGCCCAAGGGTTTCCATTTGCATTCACTTCATCACAATCAATAACCCTAAGTGATTTCCAAACTGCGCTATTACATTTGAAACCTGAACCAAATGCAATTTGCCACACTCTATCTCCTTTCTTCACTCTTCCTTTTGATTCTGTGTAAGCTAACTCATACCATAACGAACTACTCGACGTGTTACCAAATCTATGGAGTGTCATCCTTGATGGCTCCATATGCCAATCACTTAGGCTTAAGTTGTTTTGTATTTCATCTAATACTGCCCTTCCTCCCGCGTGTATACAAAAATGCTCGAATGCTAGCTTGAAATCCGGTATGTAGGGTTTCACTTTAGCTTTCAAGAGTTTCCTCTTCACCAATGTCATGAAAAACCTGAATCATATGTGAATTCGGAATTTAACGTCAGTAAGTTTAGAATGAATTTGATTTCATTATATGCATGTATTTTTTTTATATGCATCGAGAAAAAAAGAGCCTAGTTAAACCTAATAATCCCACCTTAATTAACATGACATCAGAGCAGACCAGACTTTTTTAGATGAGATAGATGATGGTACTTATTCTAGAAAGAATAGGGCCCCATGTAATAAATAACATAAATATGAAAAGTTTAAACTTTTAGTTAAGAGTATGATGAACTCTGACCTGAATTGCTCAGTAAGGGGTAACACAGATGGCCCTAGGGTGGTGATGTTAGTTTTGAGAGCATCACCAGCTACGGCCATAAGTTCACGAGCTAGTGACACCCCTACGACACCCTTGTCATCTTCTCTTTGATACACACAGTTGTAGCTATTGTCATCTGCACCTTTATGAGTTCGAACAGTGTGGACCAGCTCATATTTAGACCGGGTTCGATCTTTGGACTTGTTAGACAAAAGCATAGCTGCTCCTCCCATACGAAATATACAATTGCATAGCAACATTGATCTATCATTTCCAAAATACCAATTTAATGTAATGTTTTCCATGCTAACTACCACAGCATATGAATTTGGATTTGCTTTTAACAATTGTTTGGCTAAATCAATTGAAATTAAGCCAGCACTACATCCCATTCCACCTAAATTATAACTTTTGGTGTCAGTTTTGAGCTTGTAGTGATTCACAATCATTGATGAAAGCGATGGCGTTGGATTAAACAAACTACAATTCACTATAAGAATCCCAATTTCCTCTGGCTTGATTTGTGTTTTACTAAATAATGAATCCAATGCACCAAACATAACCGCCTCCGCCTCAGCGCGTGCCTCTTTCATGTTGAGGTTTGGTGGGACGGATGTGATTCCTCTAGGTAAATATGTCTCGTCACCTAAACCTGAACGATGAGATATCTTTTTTTGAAATACTATAGTTTCCTCTTCAAATGCACCATTTGTTTCTGTCATATTCAAAAACGAATCGACAGATATTTTTCGTTCATCTTCAGGTTTATAACACGCAAAATCAACCAAAAAAACCGGTCTAGGTTTTTTTACATAATATACCCCTAGTAACAAAAATAGTACTATCAAACCGGTTAGACCGGTTGAAGTCTCAATTAAAAGTAAAGTTGGTTCATTTCTCCATGTATCGTAAAACCGGTCTAATTTTAGACCGGTTAGGGTAAGTATAGAAAAAATGGTAGCAACGAGAACAAGTGTGAGAGGGTTACATGAATAACCATAACCAAGTTTGACATATTTGAGCTTAACAGATTGTAAAAAATCCGGCAATTTTTGCCGGATTTTAATAACAACTGAAGATGAATCTTTGAAATTCATCTCAGCTGTTAGTCTCTCTTTTTCCATGTCTATACTTTCATTTGCCATTTTCTATATATGAAGTTGAAGAAGAAGAAACAAAAAATAGTGTATATTATAAGAAGTTGAAACTCCAATAATTTTGATGTGGTGTGTTAATTGTGTGTGGGTGTATAAAGTTACATATATAATGGATAATATATATATACAAGAAAGATGTATAGATAGATAGAGATATATAATAGGTTATTTACTAGGAACCATTGTTTTTGTATATGTAATCTTGTTTTCATAAGAGGTGTGGGGTTAGGAATGAGTTGTTCCAATAGAGGATAGATAGCTCAACTACCATAGGGAAAAGAGTACTACTAATAGAAATTATTGCCAAAAAAATGTGCCAAGTAGCAAGGGGAATGATAATATATTTTCGCGGTATTATTTTATGTGGCACAATTTGATTTAACGTAATATTTTATTGAAATAATAAACGACCTTTGAACCTGTAATTTAAAAATATATTTGACAATTTTTTAAAGTTAATCTAAATAAATTTTTAAATATTTATGTGATTATAAATATTTTACTAAAATTTTTTTTATTTATACTCACGTAAAATGGGACGAAGAAAATAGTAACTAAAATGTCAATGTTGTAAGATTAATTGACCAAGAAGGCAAATAATGAACATGTGAGAAAAGGGGATTTCGTCCAAGCAATCATATTATGACTAAATCATGAGAGTCCCTTCGACTTTATGTCATTATCAATAACGTATTCCCACTTTATTACTTCGTCGTTTTGTTTATTTGATTCATATTTGATTCATTTTTTTTTAATAATATAGTTTTTAAATTTATTTTTATTGATTTAATTTTAATGTTACTAAGAAACAATAATTAATATATCATAATATTAATTATATTTAGTGGTGGAGTTAAAAGTTTCGCTAAAGAAATTCAGAATATTAAAAAAAGATACATGAAAAAGTTAAAGACCGATCAGCGTCTATTATATACATAATATAATGATTTTAACTACGTATGCATGTAATTTTATGTCGAAGGAATTTCAGATGATCCTTGTCTGCCTTTTCTAGCTAGCTATGGTTCTGGTCATATTAACTGATGTATAATAGTCTTATATTTTGAAAATTGAACTTTTTTTAAAAGGTAATTAATATTGAGAGTGAAATAGGAAAAAATAAAAGATAATTCCTTTTTTTTTTTTGGAAAAAGTAAAGTGAAAAACTATATAATAGTGAACGAATAAAAGAGAATGAAAAAAGTAATTAATTATACTTTGAATATATAAATTTGATTACTAGTAGTACTTTATGCACAATTATTTAATTATAAGAATAATTTTGAAAGAAAATAATAAATTTACCTTAATTTAATAATATATTTTTAATATAAGCACTAAATGAAATAAAATGGAGGGAGTACTTACGCATTACATCACATGCCACATTTTGTGAATTCATCAGTAATATAAACGTTTATTCGTATTATTAGATTAAATTAATCGAAAACCATTGGTAATATACGTGCCAAATCAAAGGTACGTGATAGAGTAACATTTACTGCAATTATTTAAAATTAATTAATACATTGATAACGTGATAAGAATTTCAATTGCATTTAATCAAAGGTATGCACGCTTATTACATAGGTAGAACCAATGTGATTGGTTTTCGTTCATTAGAATTTAATAATTTCGATTCAAAATTTGAGTATATCGTAAAAAAATCATTGATTTGTACAAATTATTAATATGAAATCTAATAATTTAAACCAAAATTATTCATAAATTTTAAAATCTGGTTTCGCCTCTAGATATCTATGCTTCTATAAACAGGGGTGGCTCGACAGTGTTAAAAAAAGACATGTGTCTTAGGCCCTCACCTCATTTTTAATAATAATAATAATAATAGGTAATTAGTTATTATTATTTTTTTAACAAATATTGAATACTATTTGTAGAAAAAGTAAACTTTTTATGAAAAATGAAAGAATTATTAGAATTTTTTTTTACATATTTGTAACAGTATATCTCATGAAAAATAATTTAAAATAAGAAAGATTATATTATCAATTGAAAACTAGAAGAAATTAATTATATAAAAGTTATTGACAGTTTAAATTTAAGGCCCTGTTAAATTTTTATTTTAGGTCACTAATATGCTTAAGCCGCTCCTGTCTATAAATTACGATTAGAAATCGAGAGAGATATAGCATGAAAGAGGCCGGTGGTTATAGGTGACTTACCATCAAGAAACTATTAAAAGGATAGGGTAGGTAAGAATATTGTTGCCAATCTTATCATAAAAAACACCAAAAATCGTAACATTTTTTTTTTTGATAGAATTGATGATATTCTAAAATTTATAAAACAAATGAGAATTTGGTGAACAATGTTCCTATTTTGGGAATTTAGTTTGTTTGGTAAAATGTATAACAACAATATTAATTATGATATATTATAATGTTGATATTACTTAATAAGTATGTTAAACGAGATTATTTCTAATTCAGTGTTAGATTTGGTGTATTATACATTGCATAGTTTTTAGTTTTTATTTGCTTATAAATACCTTCACAATAGTAGGGTGATTTTTTTTTAAAGAATAATCATGTCATTAATTATACTAATACAAACATTAAAACTTTTTATATTACTAATACTATAACATCAAGTAAAATATGTAACTAATTAATACTTATATTAGTTATACATTAAAATACATGTGCCATATATATGTTGCCTTGTGTATTCCTTGACTTTATTTTATATTCACGAGTATTATTACCAAGTGTGTCCAATTGCTTATAATATTTATTAGTAATATTTATAATTAGAATTTCAATATTGAGTGCAATGAGGGCAAGTCGGTGAAGGTTGGTCAGTCGAATATTTTTCGTTAAAAAATTAGATTATGTATATGATAAAATACTCTTTATTATGTGATATATAAATAAATGAACACACTTTAATATAATAAAGGTTTTTGGTCTAATGATAAGCGTACTCCGTTAAGAGCTTAAAATTCTCTTGAATAATAAAAATTTACTTATTTTATATGAAAAAAGTCCCAATAATTCATTGTTAAAATAATTGTGCACTCACGTTGCTAAAAAAAATTCACTCTTTTAAAGTTTGAATAGCCTTGATGAATTTTTTAGCTCTGCCATTGCTATCTACATATGTAGTTAGCTAAATTCAAAGTAATTTAGCTAGCGTTTGATTATATATATATATATAAATATTTTTGAAAAAGTATATTTGAATGATTTTAAAAAATCATATTTAAAAGAAGTTTGGATTGAAGTTTTGAATGTCCTTGGCCATATTTTTGCACATATTTCACTTTTTCTTTGAAAAATATGAAATATGACTTATACCTACCTTAGAAGTTTTTAAAAACTATAAAAATATTCATATTCAATTTTTATTCGGAATCTTAACTTTTTTATTAAAAATATTAATGATGTGGTCGAATTATAATAAAAACAATTTTAAAAAAATTGATGATATGACCGAATTATAATTGACCACGTGTCAAAAATTATTTTGCAAAATCATCATTAGAAAATAATGACATGAATGAGCCTTTTCTTTCACGGTAATGACATAATGAGCCAAACTTTTAAGTTAGCATAAATGCCTTTTCTAAAAAATTTATGGCATATTTAAACATTTACGCTTTAAAATATTCAAAATCTTATAATATCGTATTACTCATTCATATCGCATAAATTGAGATAATAAAGTAATATATATTGAATCCGTATTCACACGAAATTTAACTAAAATAACATATATATATATATATTGAAGCCTATGAGAGCATAGTACTACAAATAAAGTTGACTATGACGTAACACCAATATTAAAGTTGTTTATTAAAAGTTGAAAGGACATAATATTATGGGTCAGTTAATATGATTTTCACTTATTAATAGCTTTGGCTCCACATATATATTTCTATATTTAATTTATCTCCTTTTTTTTTTTGGTAAACAAAAATCACCACGCCTACAACACGTTTGGTTGTTCTTTCCATTGAATATGAACAAGTCGTATATTTTTTATTTTCATTTAATTGATATTTTTATTAAATTTTAAATATACTTTAAAAATAAAAAAAATATTTATCGCTCGATCAAAAATTTTATTTGTCCAAATCATATAACCATGCCTTTATTCATCATTATTAGTGGCATAGGCAAAACGTTCGTAAATAATATGAGTTATCATTACAATCCATCTTGTAAATGAGTTTATTAGTACTGGAATGACTTAAAGGTTTTAATTACTTTTTCCAGACTTATATTATTTGACTTTTGTTAGTTTGACATATTTTCTAAATAAAATAATTAATTAGAGATATATCTTATTAAATAAACTCACCATATTAGTTATTAGTGTGTCTTTGAAACACAAAATTTGACTTCTAGAGTTAAATAACATAAAATGAATATACTTCACTTCGTTATTGTTATTTTGAGTTTCATAAAAGTCAATTTGATTAATTTTTAAAATTAAATTAGATTGCATTTATTTAATAATTTAAACTAAAAATTTAGATGTTCAAAAATTATACGAAAAATATTATAAATTGTAATTTTTTTTGCATATTAATATGACAAAAAAATACATGATAAAATGTAAGTCAAAGCTCTTATCGTGAGGGAAACCATAACAACTAAAAAAAGGACAGAGAGAGTATTTTTAAGGGAAAATTGTATATATAATAGCAAACTAATAACCTAAAATAAATGGAGTAGCTAGGGTTTGATTTAATTGTGCTTCATAGCAAACGTTAGCCAAAGTTTGTTAGACTCCTCTCTCCCAAAAATCTCGCTCGCTACTCTCGCGTTCTCGTTCGCTACTCTCCCTCTGCTCGCCTCTCTCGCTTTATACACAGAATTGTATAAAATCTGTTTCTGTTTTGTATAAAGCGAGAGAAAATTGTATATACACATGCAAAAACATATATCTTTGTATTATACACTTAATTATACAATTTACAAACATTTTACTTCAATTCAATTGTATACAAATGCAAATTTTATACAAATATTGCAAAGAAAAAGGCCAACGAATTATACAATTGCGAATTATACAATTGAGTGAAATACAATTTTCTCTACCTTTATACAATAGAAGTGTATATATTGTGTTTCTATTTT